CATTGTCTAACAACGAGCAAATTTGTCCCATTTTCAGAACCATCCATAGCAGGCAATAAAGTAGCAGCGGAGCAGCGGTGCGTAAATCAAACTTTTCCGCCATGGTTTCTATATTTATTATCTGCTTCGAATTTTCTAATCTATCATCTAAAATCGATTTTATCGCCTCAAAATATTTTACTATGCCATCTACCTGTAGCTTGACTTGTTTTATAGTATCTGCCTCTTGCCTACTAGTATTAAATTTATCTCTCAAATTTATAAATCCTAATTCTAATTTATTAATTTTATCTAACTTATGCCTAATTACACTAACATTCTCTCTTCTTTCCTGGGAGTCTTTGTTCAAATTTCTATAAAATACTTTTAATTTTTCTAAAAAGTAACGAAATTCTTTCTCATCCACCATATCATCTCCATTTCCATATACCCAATTCAAACTCGTTCGGTGCTCTTAGATATTTCTCGTCTAATTTTCCTCTCCAGTTGTTTCTTACATCTTATATAGCAAAATATGCCAATACCAATAATTGCCAGACCTAAAACAATCAAAACCAAAACGTCCCTACGTTGATGTTACCGCTAGACTTGTAGTATCCGTTATTCCTCCACTATTGCCGGCTTGCGCTATTATTACTTCCTCTTTGACCTCTTTAGTTTTTTGATTTCCCATAATTTTTGTGTTTTCTAGCCTTTTCGGTTTCCAAATTTGCAATACTCCTGAGCTCTAACTTAGTTTTCTTCAACCATACCATTTAGAACCATAATTCGATTGGCAGGATCGCCATGTGATAACTTTGTGGGTTATCTTGATACTTTGAAATCAAACATAAGGATTTTACAAAACCCAACGTATAGTATAATATTTATTAGTTTTAAGACATTAATACAATCGTACAATAAAGTACGACTTCTCTAGCAAACATGTCTATTCTAAAAGTAACCTACTTATATCCCAAAACTCAGCATAAGCAATATTGCCTATCCTTAATTACATATTTATATTTAAATACTAAACATTCAATTACTAAATAATGTATAGGGTGTGGAACACTATTGTAACTACAGGGTATCACACACTACAACTGAAATATCATATTTAATCGAACCAATTGTTAATAACTCGAGTTTGTAATGTTATATAGTCACGACGAGATTATACAATACGTGTTGGTTTCGCTCTATAAGGCAATAGAGACAATTCTCAATCACTGGATGCTGCGCTAATTGCATACCGGTTTCGTGCTTATTAGCTGTGTCCAGAACAATACAAACTTATACCGTTTGAGTTATTACCAGTAGGTTTAGAGCTTGGATTAAACACTTGTGTTTTCATAATCTTTCTTTGGTTTTACATTCCACCCACCACACTGTTAAATATTTTTGATTTTGAATTTTTTTTTTTCAATATCCGAATTTCATCACACCCAAACGGGTAATTTCTTAGTTATAAGACTTCGAAGAGATGCAGCCACATCACGCTATTATAGATTTATTCCTGTATTATCGTTGACATCTCGTGTAAATTTATTTCTCTGGAGTTGGTAAGCTTTCGCTTATATTGCACTGACGAGAGCTCAAAACTGATATGCAATTAGCGCAGCATCCGATGATTGAGAATTAAAGTTCTCTCCATTGTCTTATAGAATAAAACCACACGTATTGTGTAATCTGGCCGTGACCGGAACAATACAAACTCATCATCATCATTGGTTTGGAGGTTCGATTACTTGTGTTTATCCGAATAAAATCTTTCTTTAGTTTTTTTTTTTTTTTTTGAAAATTCGAATTATAGGTAGGTACCTCTTTTCTTATGACGATCTTCTTCACTCGAATTTGGAACTGTCGCATTTCTTGCCTTGGTATTATGAACTATCCTTCGTTTTATTCAATCTTTACAAAGTTTGTATAAGGACCAAATTTTCAATTGTATTCAAAAATGTATCGAGCTCTTTCAGACTATTATGATGAGGGTCCGTGTCACGAATAGAATGGGAAAATTCAGAAACCCAATCCAATCTATTTACCTATATGTTTATTAAAATTTATAAACAATAATTATGAAAGAGGAATGAGCAAACATACTCAACTGTTCCTTGGCATCAACTTTCAACAAATAAAGACAAGCAAGGTTAGAGTTATTTTATCATCAAGTACAGAGAAAATAAATAATTTTGTCGCTGACTCAATACTCGCATGGTTATAAGCTAACTTGAATTATATTGGAAGGCTTTCGAAATAACATAAATTCGTAATTGTTCATGGTCATGATAATATAACATGGGATTTAGGAAAGTTAATTGAATTATTGTCTTTCTCTGGGACGTTAATTGTCTAGCCTTGTATAATAATAAACATTAAGGATTTTAAATAATAATTAATCTTAGTGGATTTTGTGTTCTTGTCTATCCGGTTTTGTGGCGCTGCTAAAGATATTGTTGTATAGAGGACGGAAGAACCTATCTTTATCAAAATTTATAGCAAAATGTATACAATATACGCAAAGCGCCAGTTTACATGTAAATGTGTATTTATATGACCGTCGGGCTCTTCCCTCATTTTCTGTGGGCTATTTTCCTGGAAGTAGGCAGGAAATAATATAAGGAAAATTAAATCCATTAATTAAATAGTCCTCGGGTGTGCTGGATGATCCTTCTAGGTTTGTCGTTAACGAATGCCCATCATATCGGAAAACTATGTAGACAGCAAAGTCTGAAAACTTGATATTATATATTCAATATACCTGAATCACTCTTAAACATATTCCGAAATGGTGTCTACTTCATCCTTTATGATATATAGTTAAGGTAAAAATAAAAATCCTTAAATTATAATTTGATGATTCCATTTAAAAATGTTACTGCGTGCACAGAAAAGCCTATTAGTTTTCCCAGTCCTGCTTATTTCTGAAATACGGCTAAAAATTCAGAATAATTTTCCTCAACGTATTTCTACGACTGGCACTTTTGAACATTTCAAATGAAAATTTCACATCGCAATTCCTTGAATAAAAGATATAAAAGAGATATGGGACAAAATTGCCCCGTGATTTATTTTTGCCTTTGCATAAGTTGCAATTCCTATTCTCCTCTAAGCGCGCATTCCTTTGGGATAAATAATTTTGAATTTATTTTGATCAGATCCGTATTAGAGAGTTAGTTGGTAAACTCCTCGGGTTCCGTGTTTGGTGAGAGCAGCGCAAACATAGAGAATCCGTAACTAGATTCAGTTTTGCTGCAATAATAACTTGAAGTAGCTTTTAGAGGCGAGTAAACTTTCTAGAAGCTAGAACTTGCCAGTGGTTGCTCTCACTTGGTATTTATGAATATGCAAAATTGAATTCGGCTACACAAAATGTGAAATTTATTTGAATCAAATATTTAGAGGATTTTTCCGACAACAAACTCCTCAAACAGCTAAGTAATCAGTTTCACGGCTGACGTTTTCCTTATGGCACCAATCCTGCCTTGTTTAATGAGGGTGCAAAATCAATAATCGATTTTCTGTGTATCAAATTCAAAATGAATATTTTTTAAATCCGATTTACCTTTTCTAAAATTAAATTGCCTCGAAAACTTTTAAAATTTAAAACTAAATATTCCTTGTTGCCTCCTAATCAAAAACGAAACCAATGATTAACAAATTTAAAGCTCTATCGATTACAAATTTTCCTTATTAAGATCAATTTGCTAAAATATAAATTATGGACAAATGGAATTTTCTAAATCCTCTGATTTAGTTTTGTACGGGTCCCAATAATTGAGAACTTCTTAACTTTGCTTGGTTTCACTTTTGAATAAAAATCTATCCGAGCGCCGAAAAAAAACTTTTCCCGGAGCAAAGTTTTGTTAAGAACTTCTACGCTTATGCAGTAGAATTAGGGGAGGGTTGATTATTTTTCAGCTTCGTACATTATGCTTATCCTACATTAATTATCGCTCTGGTATTTCGAAGCTCGTAAAATTTGTTGGAACTTTCTTTGGAGAATAATAATGGAAAAAATCTACCTATTTCTTTTGTTTTACATTTACCCATAGAATCACGAATATCACCCTAGAGGCCTTAAATTGATTTCGGCCTACTGTGTCATCATGCAAATTACTCAAACCCTATGTCCTGCTCAAATGCAAATAACATATAAACGGAAAAGGCATTTCATTAACATTGACAAATGTAACGTTGATTTGCCTTTGCGTGATTACATTTTCATTTGCCGGAGTTTGCGGAAGATTCGAAGGAATACGAAAAAAAAAGGCAATTTGCGGGTTTTATCAACCTGGTTTCGAGCCACGTAAGCTGCAGTGAAACTCTTTGATGTGTGAAAAATTAGATTTTTGGAGAATAATTTGACGTTAAATATGCAATGAAAAACCATTCTGGTGTGGCTTAGGATGCCTAGATTCATTGTGAATGATAAAAAAAATTTCAGAAACCTTCAAGGTTTACTACTAGCTGTTTCACCTAAGTGATCTAAAATCTCCTAGGAACCTTTCGGAATTAAAACATCTTAGGTGTTTCTAATTATTTATATTCCAATAAAAACTAATATTTTGTTCAGAAGCATATAATTGTTCACAAATACTGTAAACGGCGTATTTAAATTAGCTTGCATCCATTTTCAACAATTTTTCAAAAGTTGCAAGGACAACTTGAACAAAAAAAATGATAATTGTCGAAATGTACATGTCCAAAGCAATGTCAGTTGCTTGTGGGTGGGCTGTGTGATATGTAGCCTGCTCACTGAGCAAAATGAAGTTTTTGGATCTTGTGACTGTTGCAGAATTATATACTTTGCAAAAATTACTCAAAAATATCTTCAGTGGAGATAGGAGCTGCGCTACTTGAAAATCGATGCATGTTTTCCTTCTGTGAGTCTTGCGGTGGAGCAGCCAAGTCCCTACCTGTTTTTAAAAAAAAAAAATATATTAAAGATCGAAATAAGCCATGTCGAATTATTGAAAACCAACCTTGAGTCTGAAATGAAAATCTTGAATATTGAGGTAACTGGATTGAAAAATCGGTACGAGGCACGAAGACAATGCAGAAAGATTTTGGAGGACTTGAACAAAAGCTTAGTTTGCAAGTCAAGGTAACTCCATCTTATGCCCAGATCGTATGTGAAACAAAAGATAAAGGATCAAGGTTAAGTTTGACTGACAAGGTAAAAAGGCAGGAAAATTCTTCAAGAACTTCCTTCCGCAAAGGCGCCAACAATTCAGGAGTTGCAGGATAGGAAAAATAGACCATTCAATGTCTTAGTTTTTGGAATCGACGGGACAGAAGCAAATAACAAGGAAGAGACCTTAACGTTGGACAAGGAAAAACATTGAACATTGTGAAAAAAAAAAAATACCAGGGGCAACAATCAGGTATGGAAAAATAAGGCATCAAAGTCACATTACTTATCAAGGAAGGAGTGCATCAGTCGGTATGCTAAAAGAGCTAACTCATTACCAGTGCAGAGGGTAACAAGTGTGATTTGACTCTGAAATGGAGTGAATATCTGAGATAAATTATTCCGTAGCTTGAGAAACTGATCCACAAATCAAGTACATCGATGGCTCACCTAGAATCATAAATACGTCAACACCAACTCACACAAAACAAAAAATAAACTAAAATCTGCCCACTTTCTGAAAATCTTCTTTTGGTATACCAATTTGAACTGCATTCAATGACAGAGATTGATAAGAGGTAGGTTTTGAATACAGTAACCCATGACACGATTCTAGATAGCTTAGTGCTGATTCCTGGTTACTTATTGTACCGAAACTATAGGACAAATCAGAGGGGAGGAGCAAGACACAGGTATTCTCTGTCTTCCACGATCAACTACAATTAGGGAGAAGATGGGCAATCCTCAAAACCCCGGCTAACCTGTAACATTTTTAGGCACATTAGAAAAAAGAGAGTGTGTGTTACCCCTTTTGTTAACAAATTAACAAGAGGCCCATAATATGGTTAGTTTGCTTAGCGAATAATTATTATTAGGGGTGGGTCAATAGTTACATAATTATAGAATGGCAAGAACGCTACTGAATTTGTGAAAATAATTAAATTACATAAAATATTGCAGTGTGAAAATTCAGAAACACACCTGAAAGAAATAATTAGCAAAAGTTAATTGATAATTCTGAAATGGATATTCCTCAACTGGATCCACCAAACTAAAAAAATAATATGACAATAATATACACTTGTATAGTTGTCACATAATTCAACTTAACAGTCGGTGGCTATATCATTAATCATTAACTTGAAATGAAAATGTGAAAAATTTAAGTTTCGAGAAAATTAATTTCGAAAGAATAAATGAATGAAAGGTGTAATGTTGTATGGATGAATAAAGTGAAATCAAAGGTTGAACGTTGAAGGTATACAGGAGATTATATCAGAAATCGTCAAGTATATGAATTGTAGAGCCGAGGTGGAACATTGAACTATTTTTGACGATGTAGGATACTAACTTAATAAATTTAAATTTGGAACATATTTTGCAACCTTGACTTCAGTTCAGATTATTAATTTTGAATAATAAAAAATACATCCTTTAAGCATTTCGGTACCCAATCAATAATAAATTGGATAAATCGGAAATAATTATTCAACCGCCACTTCGGTGTCAGAAATGTGAAATTAAAAATTTCAAATTTCTAAATGACATATCGATGGAAATTCAATTAATTATGGTAATTGATCATAGAATAGATTTCATGAAATAAAAAAAGGTAAAAGGCATTAATGAAACTCTATACAAGCCTCAGTTCCAACGAAAACGTTGGAGTACGGTAGCCGTCCATTTTCTGTCACTTGACGATGGAAGTTGCAGATGGAAATTGCAGATTCTAGCCTTGAATGACGGTAGATGGAGGCTAGAAGTACACAGTTTTCGTCAAATGTTGAGGGGAAGGAGTCGAGACGTGAGGGGATTGATTCCTCTAGGAAATCGCTTCGAAAGCCCATGTTCCAGCCTAACGATCTGCATGAAAAAATGAAGCTCCGCGAAAACGGGGTTCGTTAGGCACGGGGGCTCCTTGAAAGAAACGGACTCCTCAAAAGACCATAAGGAATAGGGCATTTCATGAATAACCATTACTTTAAAAATAAAAATAAAAAGAACTTACCACGACGGGTTCAAAATTCCAACTTGAATAAAACGGTAATCTCAAGACAATGGAACATTGCCTTACGCAATTTTATTTCGGCAAGCTAGTGCCTGATGGCCGATAAAGTACTTTTTTCCACGAGAACGGTAATCGATATTTCACTTAGGAAGATAGCTGCTCCCAGGCCAGGATCAACCTTTCAGGGGCTCGATTTTCGTCTCAAGGAGTAGAACTCCCTGATAGAACGAATATTTTGTCCTTGTCAACGTAATCGAATAATAAACGAGAATGATAAGGACGAAAAATTTGTTCTCTCAGGGAGTTCTACTCCCTCAAACGAGAATCGGGACCCAGGTCGAAAGTTGAAATTTAAGAAGGACGAAGAATAGGACAAGCTGAACAAGTAGAGCTTCCCTTCGAAGAATAGCCAACGGAAAGTGTTGGTACCAAACTGGTAATTCAAATTTAAAGGAAAAGCGTGCCCTCTAGGTTAATAATTGCTATTATTATTGGCGACAGAAACCTTCTTCTAATAATGGCAGTCACCAGACGGTCAAAATTCAAGGCGGCAGGTAAATTTATAAAATAATATTTGGAAGAAAAGACAGGCACATTAAGAATGTTACATGTTGTGGCACAGGAAATTGCAGAGCAACTCTGAAACTGGCAACCAAAATAAGTTCCCCAAAGCAAACATATAACTAGTCTAGAAGAAAATATGAACAAGATTTGCTCACCTCATCTGATAAGCAGTTTCATTCCTACATAAACCGATCCCTTGGTTCAAGAGTTACACATGTCAAACAATAGGGATGCTAATACTAACTGCATTATTCATAAATAATGAGAAGTTCCTAATTCGTTCAGCAAACAGTTTCAGAGTATTTTTATTTAATTATTTACGACTAATGTATAATGTAATAATTATACTTGTGATTTTGGCAGTATAATGACATATGTTATTTCCCCAGGGAATAATGACGAGCAGCGGGATTAATGGTCATTATTCCTCAAAAGTGTTAGTGTCAAGCGAGTAGTGCTTGTGGATTTGTATTGAGATGGATGAAATTTGCTAATAAAAATCTGAAATAAATTAATTTGTCATAAATAAAGCAGATTATACTACTCGCAATAATGGCTACTATTCCCTCGGAATGTTACTCCCTCACCGCTAACGCGGCTCAGTTCGTAAATATTCCTCGGGAATAATAGCTATCATGTACCAATTAACCGAGTAACGACGTACAAAAAACCACCTCAATAATTTAATTGTTAGTTTGGCCATAGCTCGCAGGAAAGTGGTAATTAGCATCCTTCGATATTTTGCAATCAGAACGAATTTGTAACTTACTCCCAAAAAAATTGCTGCCGTATTAAATAGTCACCTTCTCAAATAAATAGCAAACGTGAAGCTTTTAAGAGCTTCAAATTCTCAGCAATGACAGCAATCGACGTTATTCATGTCGTTTAGAGGCGAAATCAACCGAAACCACAGAATCCAATGTCTCGTCAGATACCTAATTGTCTGAAATGGAGCTAAAATTACATAGGGGGTAAATTAAAATCGACACCGAATGGCCACTACAATAAAGTAGATTTGAGCTTCGACTGGTCGGAAATGCAAATATTTGCTGTCGATGTTGCTTTGGCGTTGACTACGTGATTCTCGTTCAATCAGTTTTTCAGCGGCTCCAGTAGATTATGACAGAAAAATCCAATAAATCACATTAGATGAGATGGCTGGTGTTTGAACAGCAATTTCTATGGACAAGTGGCATGTTCATATCTCAAATGGCGTTTGTATCGATTTTGTAGTCACACATGACCAAACGTTTCCCTTTTCTCGCTTTTCTCAAACTAGACTGACTCTAATGGAAACGAAAGACGTTTGTGGTGGAAAAATTGACTGTAACTATTTTTTGAATACATAAATACAATAAACAGCCGACATGTTTGTTTTTTAATAATTAATCCAGGTCCAAACAATCCACTCGTTTTCAGGGCTAATACATACATATAATAATTCTCATTTGGGACTCATGAGTGGAACTAACAATATAGGCACTCGTTTTGCATGGCTACTAGCAAAAACGATAATTTCCACTCATATTAGTAAACCTCATACTGCAGTTCTGTGCCAACACATGGGACTGATCTAAGACCGTGTCGCCTTAGCACCATCTTCGTTATAATGTGAGGAAATGTATAGGGATTTATCTGAAACGTATTGATTGTCAAAAGAACAACCCTGTCGGACTCGTTTAGAAAGTTCTCCGCTTGAAATTACCAAATTTTCCAGGTTTTTTTCGCGAAATGAAATAATCACAGAACCTGTTAAGGCAAAAATATACTGAAAATCAAATTATCTGAGCCTCCAATTCAGAAAGTTGTAATTTTCTTCAAATTGAGTTGATTTTGTTGTGAGGAAAATTCAACTGGATTTCATTTCTTAACTCAAAAACCCACTGAGAGGAAGATTTTCAAATTTTGGGGATTAATTATGAAGGATTCTAAGGCAAAAATATACTGAAAATCAAATTATCTGAGCCTCCAATTAAGAAAGTTGTGATTTTCTTCAAATTGAGTTGATTTTGTTTGAGGAAAATTCAACTGGATTTTATTTCTTAACTCAAAACCCACTGAGAGAAAGATTTTCAAATTTTGGGGATTAATTGTGAAGGATTCTAAGGCAAAAATATACTGAAAATCAAATTATCTGAGCCTCCAATTAAGAAAGTTGTGATTTTATTCAAATTGAGTTGATTTTGTTTGAGGAAAATTCAACTGGATTTTATTCCTTAACTCAAAACCCACTGAGAGGAAGATTTTCAAATTTTGAGGATTAATTGTGAAGGATTCTAAGGCAAAAATATACTGAAAATCAAATTATCTGAGCCTCCAATTAAGAAAGTTGTGATTTTCTTCAAATTGAGTTGATTTTGTTTGAGGAACATTCAAGTGGATTTTATTGCTTAACTCAAAACCCACTGAAAGGAAGATTTTCAAATTTTGAGAATTAATTGTGAAGGATTCTAATGCAAAAATATACTGAAAA